ACCAAAAGGCTAAAGGTCAATAAAATAGTATAAATTTATAAAACACTTTAGTTAAGTTTAGTACGATTTTTTTTGGGTCACTTTATCATTTCTGTAAATCCATAGAATAAGACCTTGGGGAATCATTCCAACCAAATGCTGATAGCCTTTTTCTTTTTCGGTCTTTTTCAGCTGGAAAACCACCTCTCTTGCACAAGTGTAGTTTATGTGTGTATGGTGCCCATAGTGTGCACGGTCTATGGTGAGCACACTATAGACCATGCACACGATAGTGTCCATTGTGTGCATGGTCTGTAATGTGCTCGACCTGCCACTTTGTTCTGAATTCATAAAGATCATAACGCCTAAAAGCAGGTCTATAGTCAAGTTGATGCTATGCTCAGTTTTCTTTCAAAAGAATTTACACCTTGGGAATAGGACCCACAACCAAGCCCACAACCTTAAAGCACCAGTACATGGGCACCTGGGCCGCGGGCCTGACACCTCAAATTCTGGAAGGCTGAAATGAAAACGCGACCGCCGATCCAATTTATCAACGGCAGGCCCATTGTTTGACGTTTCGGCCTCGTTTTCTTGTAGCGACAAGTTTCAGACTGCAAGGCTGGGGCCGTGTACTTGCGGTTTAAGCACTGCAATCGAACCGATAGAGACCTTTGTTAAGGTTGAGGCCTCCTACTTCTAAGCTAATTCCACTGTTTTTAACTTAAAAAAAAAAAACAATCTTGTGGGCAATTGACTTACAATATGCAGCTGTGCTTTAACCCGCCGCGAAAACTGAGAGTTGAGATACTCCTCTCTCTCCTTGCCACTTTCAATCTCAAGTGCAAGAGGGCCTGTGTCAGCTTCTTCTAGCCTCTGCAGCTCTTGCTGAACATAGTATCTCTGATCTGTGTCCAGCAACTCATGCACCTGGCAAACAGTAACAACAGGAGGTAGCTTTCTGAGATTGGTGAGATTGGTGAGACTGGTGAGATTGGTGAGATTGGTGAGATTGGTGAGATTGGTGAACCCCCAGTCACTCTTCATTTACCAGGATAAGATATGGAATTTGACAGTAGGAACAGACCCCAGTAAGGGGATTCATGAGGAAAGGTTAGGGCCAGATTCTTGGTCAAGTATTGATCCAAACAGAGTGTCAGAGGTACGTAGCTCCTTTTTGAAGGGCTTTTTCTTGCTTGTTTTTAAGCCACCAGTACGTGGCTCCGTCCATTTTTCTCGACGAGGCCGTTAACACGCCGCGAGTTTAAGGGGTCGGCTACCGGAGCACAATGGCAGGTGGCGCCAGCCAAAAGAAAGTTGCGCCGGTTTGCTTTTTTTTTGGTGTGGACTGTGCAGGGCATTTCCAGGCTGGGCAAGGGAAAGGTCGAGATGCGAAAGTACTGGTGGTTTAATTGTACGCATCTGATTCCGTGCAAGTAGACCATGAAGAAGAAAATCTTGAATCACAAGCACGTCGAGCTCTCATGTCCCGGCATTGACTCTGTGACAAAGCAAAGACCAGAATCACCAAAGCATTGATCACACATGCACAAGATAAAGGCAACATTGATGATCCTCGGTGAAGAAAGCAGCCAGCTCCTCTCCCATCAACAAAACAACAAAAATAATACTCTGCAAAGTCTGTCTCCCACAGATCAGACCGACCAAGGCGATCACATGGTCTATCTGCTAGCTATCACTGGCCCACTCTACTGGTCACTGACGTCCAACACCACACAGCCCAATGCTCCACCCCCCCCAATAAACAGTTGAAGAGTACAAAATGCTGGAGCTCACTTTATGACCACCAGGTAAGCCCCTCACCCTTCCTCCTCCTCCCATTGTGCGCACCACCTCTCTCTCTCTCTCTCTCTCTCTCTCTCTCTCTCTCTCTCTCTCTCTCTCTCTCT